CATTTAGCGCGATAACTCCAGCAAAAACGACCCGATTTTGATGAAATTTGGTACACACTTGTAAACCTACATTTTTTTAACGAGTTTGCGAACCAGCATGATTGGACTATAAGAACGGGGTTTATGGGGGGTTTTATGGAGTAAGAATTAGTTTTTCCCATTTTTGACTCTAAAAACATAAAATTTCACAATTTAAGACATACAAATGATCGGGGAGTGAGATGGTCTATTGGCACAGTTTGGGACTTCAGTCCCCGGAAGTTCCGGATTCAAACCCCACCAATCACAAATATATTTTATCTAAGTGATAATACAACGACGCGCTCTAGACCTAGCCTGAAGGAGCGAGGAAAACGATTCCGGGGTAGATCTTAAAGGAATAATACAAAAATCAGTTGTATATAAAGGCTGATTAATCCAAATAGTTCTTAACTGTCTCACCTACTACCGTTCATAAATTTACACCTTTAAGTCTTTGTACCTTTTGATCTCAATATGACCATACATCGCTTAACACAATGTATTCCACTTCATTCATGTCATATCGCTTTCTCGACTATGACTCCAAACCAGTCGAATGAAAACGAAAGCGGCTTCATTTGCGATTATAAGGTTCTCGGAACTAGGGAGATAGCTAACAAGGCTTCCGGTTTTTCCTTTTTGCAAATGAGGAAAAATGTTAAACTAATTACATGTTTAAGCTCGGAACAGTGATTTAGAATCAGGCAGACTACGTAGTTAGGGCCCCCTAGTAGACGCTACTCTATCTTGTCCAACCTACATGCATACTGAAGTAGCTATTACCGTAGGTCTCATGGTAAGACCTAAGCCCGGGACCGATTTACTTTTTCATTTTGATGTCCCCAGAGGCCAAAAACACCATTCGTTCAAATTTATATATATATGTGTCCATCCGCACGATAACTTGAGTAATTTTTGTCCGATTTTGATAAAATTTGGTTTGAAGATGTAAGGCGGGATAAACTTGAATGAGTTCGCGAACCAGCATGATCGGACTATGGGAACGGGGGTTTATGGGGGGTTTTATGGGGTAAAAATAGGTTTTTCCCATTTTTGACCCTAAAAACACAAAATTTCACAATTTCTTTTTAAACCATTTTGTAGAGCTTAAAAAAACAAATAATTTAGTATATTGAAGCGTTATTATGCGCCTAATTGTTACGGAGAAAATTCAAAAAAATTGTAATTTTAAATTTCCCATGTTATTCTTATGGAGAATAAGTCAACTGTTGTAGTTTGCTTGTTTATGAACATATTTTGATAGATTTTGGAAAATACTTTTATTTCTTACTAAACTATTATCATTTTATAAAAAAAAATCTTTTTTACCCTCCCTGTTGCAGCAAACCTGTGCAACAGTACTCGTTAAACTAATTCTATCTAAATAGGAAATAAATGTGTTATTTTTATGGAGGAATTTTAGTGTAAATCCAATCAGGTTAATGGAAATTCGCTTAGTCTGCAGGTTTGCTGCGGCGGGGTATTTTACAATTTGTATGGGCACGGTCTAGACCATGGTCTTGTCTCTAACGTGGACCTTTTGTAAGATAGCATTTTGAATTGGTAAGCCCATTGACAAAATAGTATCTAGGTCTGTTAGCAATCTCGCTTGAAATTGTGCATTCGTATAATTTATATGTGTATGCGAACCTTTACTAATATAACAGTCGGTAGTAAATATTTAAGTCGAATGCAGAGCTCGGTTTGATCTCGCACTCCCTGGAAATGAGTTAAATTAAAATATTGGGTAAATATCCAACTCCTTGGTACAAACTATGACTTATGACTTATGGTCTTTTTAAGTCATTGAACGTACTAACATTAAAAAAAGACTGTAAAGTAATCTATGTTTGATTTCCCAGTAGTCAGAACTGAGAGTAAAATCTTTATTTGACGTCATCCTACGTGTCAGAGTTAAATTCTTTTTAGTTCTCCTATAAATGAATACTCTGCAGGTTACCTACCATAATCACGGATTTTAGATGGTATAGTCATCTTATAAAGATACTAGGCAAGTAGGCGTAGCTAATTTTTTTTATTAAAAATAAAATAATATTAGCATATCTTAGTGTGTCTTTATTTCTAATTATTTTATATTTTCATACTACGATAGTTAAAAGGACATGAAACATATGGCTTAAAATTAAGTTGCCTTCACATTTGTCATAGTTTCTCAGGTCTTACACAGTTACACAGTCTGTGTCAGTGTGCTTAAAACTGAAAAATGGGAATTTTTCATCTTCGCTCTCGCTGTGGCTCAATTTAAATAACTTTATTTTATTAGAATACAATCTAGGAACATATTTGAAGGTGCTGTGTTCTTTGTCATATATGAGACCCAACTATAGTCTCATCGTTGGATCACAGACTGCGGTCCTAACAAAGTGATCACTCTTGACACCCGTTCTAGTCCCATTACTCCCACTACTCCCACCATGTACTATACACGGCTAATAGAAGAGTTAATATAGCGGAAGAGATGGACCCGAATCACCTGTTATTCGTCTTCGCATACTTTCTACTGTTTATCTAAGTCCGACTTTCCCCCTTTGACCAATGTGGTCAGCCGACTCAATAAGATAAACGCCTCATCGCTCAATCAACTGCGGTTTCCAAATTCGGTCGCTTGATTCTGCCAATTCTTTGGCGGAAATTGTTTAAGTTTTTTTTTAAGTTTTCAACTCATTATTGCCTGAAGAATATTTGTCATTGGTGAATAGATAACAATGTTAAGGAGACTCCAAACAACCAGATCACTCGCATTTTTAGGTGTTCATTAGATGATTTAAGATTTTTAAATAACCCTTTCGGTGCTGTGACACAAACATATCTTTCGAACATTTAGGACTTTAAAGTCCTAAATCCTCGAAAAAATATTTGATGATTTGGGACTAAAACATGTTTAGGATTAGGTGGTGTGACACCTTCTTTTGAGACCACAGTTATGGTACTGTCATTGACAATACACCATTTATGGTATACTGTGTAGTCAATTACAGTATAACATGCGATGGCCAGACAGTGGTCAAAATCCCTACAAAATACATGCTCTCACCATAATCAGGTAATATATAACTAAAGAAGTTCTAGTCAAACACTTTGTATGCAAAACCATAACTGTGTCGATGTGTCTAGGTGTCAAACGTGGCAACACTTTCAAAATCCACCCAGTCACAATTTTTGAAAGAATTTTACGTAAAGTACGAATCTAAATGACCTTATTCTACTAAATAGTTTTGTTTTCCCATAGATAGAGTTTGTTTGATTCTCCTTTGGCACATACATAAGCTACATAAATATGCTGATATTAAGAGTGGAGCGGGGGTATGTGGAGGAGCATTTAAAGAGGTTTAATCGATAAAATCAATTTAACCATGAACAATTCAAAAGGAGAAATTATGCAGTACATTAATTTCATTTGATGGATTGAAGGAACATTTTTTCAAACCTGCCAACATTTAAAAACAGTTAAAACCTTCCTGCATAAAACAAAATAAGTGATTTTTCAGGTACATCATAATAAATATTTTCGTTACAAATAAGTTGAAGTACAAACAATTGAGTAATTGTCGCCGATTCTTTTATTAATTAATCTTCTTATTTACCCTCTGATAACCTACATACTTTTTGTAGCGAATGCATCTGGTTAATTCTTGAAAACAGTATATAAGTTAAATTGTACATTAAATTTGGGTTATTCTGTATAATAATGGAAAATGTTATTAAAATTTCTATCATAAAATATAGTTGTCACATATTGTTAAGTGACGTTAAATATTTAATGCTAAACATGCCCGGTAAATTTCTCTTCCTGCCCCTGGCAACCAATTGTGGATTCAATGCGGAAATAAAACACCTCTGGGATACAAAACCCATTACAATATCTGCATAAGTCATCGAAATGCAATTAAGGAGCTGAATGTGTGCTACTGACAGACGTGGTAGAAACTATACTCATTTTTAGTTTAAAGTGACTATCGAGATAGCCAGAATATATTTTACTCTTCTATGAATATTAAATCTAATATTTATTTCTGAATGGATTTCCAGCACTATAAACTGTAATTAATTATGTAATCGAATAATATTTTTACTCCTTCGCATTGGTATTTTATCGCTTTTTACTATACTTACCCTAAGGTTTCGTTCCGTTTACTTTATAAAGCTCAAGTTCCAATGTAAATTAATTGAAATGGTGAATTCACATGTTAAAATCTGATTTAAAGTCAATCGAGTAGTAAAAATAATTACAAATATTGTCAGGCAATCAAACAAATAAAAATTATATTTTTGTTTACTCTGATGATTAAACAGATCCACTAATTAATTGTGATAATATGTATTTTTATACTTGACTTCAAGTAATAGCGTATTTCGTACCTAAGGCCGAAAATGAGGTTTTGCCGGCTCGAGAAAGGTTTTAAGTTCGAAGTCGAGAACTTAAAGCGATCGAGAGCTGCAAAACCATCGATCCGTGGTACGAAATTTTTTTTTACCACACTATACCTTATTACCACTATTCACCACAATAATAATTAAATAAAATAAGTTGTGATTGAGAGGGCTGGAAAAAAAGAAATTATATTTTAACTCGTATATTTCAATTACATTGCACACTCTTAGAGTTTACATAAGTCATTCATACGAATGATACACTTAATAAATAACATCTCTTAACAAAACTACATAAATTATTTTAAAAATAAATATAAATAATACTAAATAACAATTTGTACATTATCATAAACATACTAATTTGTAAGTTTCCATCAGGTAAATTATAAACTTCACTACTTTAGCCATAAATAGGGTATCCCTGCAAAAGTTCATAAATGTAAAGATTGTGTAACTGATTTTAGCATCATAACTTTTACGTTGCCGTTATACAATTGAAAAACTGTATAGTTTAGAAAATCGTAAGTACTTTTATGTTGAAGGTATAGTTGTGTTCTGATCCTTGGTTTGGAGAATTGCGGAGACTATTCCTCACCATTCTCATCGATTTCATTATCTGAAACAAAAATCGAAACAATTAAATAAATGAGGTGAGAATTTTATTAAAAATCTGTATTGTACTAGTACCATCAAGGCGAACGTCTAAAAGTAAAACTTCCAATGTATTTTTAAATTAAGCTTATAAATATAAGTTTTAACATCAATTATCTTTTAACCTTTATGTTGTTAAAATTACCAATTTTAGGCTCAATTTTTCTCAAGTCAATCAAAATGCAGGAAAATATAGTTCATAGTCATTGTGTATTGTATTTTGAGTTTCTCAGAATATTCGTTTTCTTATTTTATAGTTACTAATAATTGTTTTCACTATTTATTCTATTAGCTTCAATAGAGTTCTTAATTTTAAATGTAGAATTCAAAGACAGCAAGAAACCTTGTGTTACGTGTTTTGTGCTTCAAAACAATAAAAATTATTGTATTGATGGCATGAAAAAGTAACCATAAAAGGCCATACCCCACTAAACTGCTGTTTTATACAAGGATAGTTATAGTTAGTAAAAGTAATAAGTTTAATTTGACCATGATTTAACAGTAAGATTTTTAGTTGAGGTTTACTATGATGGGAATATTTTCACTTACTACCAGGTAATAACAATAAATTTCGCTTCTGTCTTGTTAAATTACCTTGAATCACACGTCACATTTCCATGTTAAATTGGTATTAAATTATTATATGAAAAAATACTTGTATTAGAATTTTAACAATGTGCAGCTGTAAATACTGTTCACTTATTAATAAAGCTACGTTATAATTACACTAAACTGGAAGAACTGGAAGCGCTAGAGCTTGTATTGTAGTGTATAACGTATACGACATACAACAATACACCCTTTTGTACCCTTTTGAAGTATATAACGTATTAACGTATCCATAAAGCACAGTATATATAGAGTATACATCTAATATTACTGTTGATGACATTAATAAACATAGCAGCTATGTATTTTATAATGGAAAGATCGTTTGGAACTGATTTAGGTCCACTTTTCAAAATAAGTTAGTCAATTACCTGCTTGTGCTTCCTGCTCCTTCTGGGATGGCCTGAATCCTCTCTGAGAGTCCAAGTAGGCCCTCAGTGCTCCACCGCGAAGTGGCCTGGAGTCCTGGACCCTTTGCAGCTTCGTAGTCTTCAGAGGAACTTCCGGTTGCTCTTCGTTAGCTTCCGCTTTCTGTTCAGCCTCTCCGTGACGACCCTCGTAGTGTTCGTCATTCTCAGAAGCGGCAAAGGAAGCGTCTGGGGTAGCGTAGGTAGATTGTGGGGATTTGAAGAAGGAAGATGCACTAGCAGAAGATTGGGAGTAAGGGTAGATTGGACCTGCTGGAGTTCCGTATGACGTGGAAGGGATTTCAGGCACGCTGTATTGCTGAGCAGGTGGGCTGTATTGCGGAGCAGGTGGCCCATATTCTGGAGCAGGTGGACTGTATTGTGGAGCAGGAGGTCCATATTCTGGAGCAGGTGGACTGTACTGTGGAGCTGGCGGACCGTATTCTGGAGCAGGAGGTCCATATGTATGTGCAGGTGGTCCATAAACTGGTGTTGGTGGACCGTATGTTGGGGAAGGTGCATTGTAAGGTGTCTCTGGATGAGGGGCTCGTGGTGCTTGAGGAATCTGAATACTGACGTAGCTTCCACCTAATCCGTTGGAGCTGATATCTGGCAGATTGATGTGGGGAAGTTGTGGAGTCGGTGGAAGATGGCCAACACCAGGAATCTTCGGAAGGTGTGGTAATTTTGGAAGATTTGGCAACAAACTTCCAGAAATTCCAGTTCCTACTGCTCTAAAGTTGTTGAAGACTCCCTGAGGGGTGGGATAGACATCGGGAACGTTTGTCCAAGTTCCACTGTTCAAAGCTACATTAGTTGATCCACCAGCACCCCCAAACAGGGTCTGGAACATTCCTTGGATGGAGTGCCTTGCGTTGTATTTCAGTTTTCTTGCATTGTTGGCTAATCCCAGAAGAGCAGTGACCTTCTCTAGACCACCGGGAGTTGCCGCGTATTGTTGTACTTTTGCAAACATGTCGGGTGGAAGCAGAGTTTGCAGGGTGGATAAATCGATGTCTGCAACGGAATTCGCAGATGCGGAAGCAAATGAAGCAGCTGAGGCACCAGCAGCAGCGGAAGATCCATCCGAAGTTCCAGTGGAAGCAGATCCAGTTGAAGAAAATGATCCAGCTGATGCAGAAGAGCCTGCAGAAGGTGCAAAAGAAGAAGATCCGGTGAAAGAAGCAGATCCAGCATAAGAAGAGGATCCGGCAGAAGTAGATGCCGCTGAGTTTGCCACGTACACAGGCCCTCTGGGATCCCTGGAGTATGGTCCACTGGCTGGAACACCATACTCATTTGCTGGAGGAGATGGAGCATCTCTCGGAATGTAGTTAGGGTCCGGAACATTCACAATGGAAGGAGCTTCCCCTGATTGATATGGACCAGTTGGAAGAGTAGATGGTATTCTTTCACCAGGATAAGGCACAGGCTGCAGAGAGATTCCATGGTACCTATGTACTTTCCAAAGAGGGTAGGTGCCAATATGGGGTACTTCAGGGAGAGCGTTAAGCCCAAAAAACCCACCAATCACCGGGAGTTTCGCTATGTGGGCTTTTGCAAGAGCGGGGATTTTTTTAAGGTGAGGGATTTTAGACGCCAGGGCAATTGTTCCGATAGTTTTGATGGATCTCCGTTGTCTTGCAGGATCATCGCTGTTGACAATGGCGGAGGAAGGAATCACTGCTGACAACAAAATGGCCAATGCTAGGAGGAAATAAAGTTGGGTTGCCATGTTATCAGTCTACTTGGTTGTTTACAATAAATCTGGAACACACGTTAACGACTTGTTAATTTTATGTACTCTACTTTGCTGTGGTGCCTTAATCTTAGATCGAGTATTAATAATTAATACCTTTGCAGCCATATTGAGCATGCGACATTCTTTACCATATTCTTTTCTCAATTCAATAGAAATAGTTAATTCCAAATGATGACAAATGGATTTACCATCGACATATATTCTTCAGTTTACAACGCCTCTCAGCAGTAACTCTAGTGGAGCAGCAGTAACTATTACTATAGCAGTAACTACTGTATTACCGCACGTGGCAGCTTGTTCCATCAGTTAACGTCTGTTTGGTGGCGATGATGTGTTCAGTGGCGCCATCCCGGGACGGCTCTTAACGAGATGAGATACAGTTTACCCAACGGTTTTCCAAATGTTTATTTTATTTCTATTTTACGAAAATTTAATAAATTATGGAGGTTAATTAGACAAGTAAATAAAATTGTATGTTTTTCTGTAAATGGTTTGGATTAATATACAGTATAACTAAAGGGTTGAAATAATTCCTAAGTAAACATTCAGCGTAAAAAACGTAAGAATTTCACTGCTTTGTAACTGCTTTGTTTGAAACTGAATCATGTAATTCTTAGCAGAAAAATTGCAGTACCAGATTTTGAAAAACTTCTATTTTCGCAAACCGTTTACTTATTTTAAAAATAAAATATAAATATGTAAAATGCAATTATTTAAAGTCCACTATGACTCTCGCGTTTGCATCTATCAATATTTTAAACCATAATTTAATTCTTAGGTAAGTTTAATACGTGGAAGTTCTATACGTGGAATAATTTTACACTGAGAACTAAAACCACTTAGTGGAATAATAATAAGAAGACTTCGTTAAAATTACTAATAGAAATCTTGAGTTAAACAGCTTCTAACTAAGCCTCTGTATCATTTGAAGTGTATTAATCGTTTGATAATGTAATTTAATACAATTTTCCCTAATATAGTTTTTCATGATTATTTAGACGTGTCATGCTTGGTTATAACATGAAAACATTGAAGTTTTCATACAGTACATATAAAAGCTGTACTACGAATGCTTTCTTTACCAAAACTTATCTTATTCAAATTTAAATAAGAAGTGAACATTTACTAAGAGTTTAACATTGTCTCTTTGAATGCATGACTGCTTAATCGGCAAGTAAGTTCAACTTTGACACGATTAAAGTTTACAAGTTAAAATGGAGGAACGGTTCCTTTGTTTTAAGATTAGCACGAGAAATTCAATATCTGCCAACTACCAGAAAGTTTAATTTGTAATGCACGAACACTTTGGACATTACTGTTAATCGTAGGCGTTGAATAGCTTAAATGTCTATGATACAATACGAATGAGTGTATTATTACTAGGACATTTTTAATTCTTGAAAATGTAAAGATTGACTTGAAATGCGTTACAGAAGAATAAAAACATGAAGTCAATGAAACGTTTTACCTCACTGTGGAAATATATTAAGATTAACCAATTAAGTACGAAATTTGTAAGTCTGAGGACGTGAGAAGTCTTCAAATAATCTATTAATACGATAGGGTTGATAGTTGATCTTGTTATATATAAAACATATTAATAGTAGATGTTAGCCTCCAGATCTCCAAATAATATTAAAATGGTTTACATACCTGCTATTAAGCAATCCAATTAATTGTAGTACCAACTAGTTTTAGCTCCTATGATGTTTTTATGTGCCAAGTTTGACGCTCTTTATATAAAGAAAGGAATCGTCCTTGATGCCGGCTCCACATAAGAGCCGAAACTAGTTGCGACGCAAATTGAATGGATTACTTAAAAGCAGGTTTGTAAGCCCTTTTAATTTATCAATGCTTAATCAGTGGTTGTATACCCGTGATAATAAAATGTAAAGAGAGATGGTAAAAATCTGTACTATACAATTCCATATTTAGTACTAAAAAATAGATAGTAGCAAGATAGTCGGAATAGATTCAGTTTGTTTTATACGATTTCTTTAATTTTAATAACAATGTATGGGAAATTTAATTTTACAATAATGCATAGTTGTTTGTAAATTTGTAATCATAGGGAAGAAACTATTTTTGGATTCTTTGAAGATCAACCTAGGTGATCACCATTTCGTTTTATAGTCTACTCATAATATGAATATGCTCAATAAAATTAATATGAAATGTGTAAACCATATTTGCATGAATTCTTGAACCGATTGACTTGAATTCTGATCTGACCGTAGAAACGACGATTGAGTATCTTAAAATATGTGTTTCTTTTATTTGTAATCAAAGTTCCTAATTTTTTTAACATTTTCTATTCAACGTTTTTAAGGTTGGAATATCAAATATCCACTACATCTTACCGTAGCATACTAAAGCCTACTACAGTTCACTCTAAAATATTGGCTACAAAAATGTTAAACACAATACGATGTCCACAGTTCATCCTTACGATAGATTAATTGCCATTGAGATGGATTTGACCATTCAACTATGCGTTTTTACAATTAAACATAAACAAACTCAGGCCTCATTACTCTAAAGTTACGAGTACTATCTTATATAATCTTAGTGTAACTTTATATCTGTTGAACCTGGTAAACAATAAATATGTTTTTTGTAAACGCTTATTGTAATTTGAGGTGTACATTTTTGAATATAAACATAACTATTTATAACAGATTTTGTTCGGTACTACCCTAAAAATTAAAACAAGCGCTATTTTTGTAAACGTCTTGATTACCTTTGACTACCTCCAATTCTAGTACTTTAAAGGTTTAAAATTTTTTTAAGTATTACTTTTAAGGGGGTATAGGCCTGTGAACAATGTAAACATGGAAGATCACATTAATTTACATGTTTCTACTATACTCCTGAAATTGACTATACACTGTTTCGGTTGCATTTTGTTATGGAGAATTTAATTGTATGTTAAGCATAAACCGAGACTGTTGTTTGTATGGAAAAAAATTCATTTTAATTTGAAAATGTATCTAGTCCTTTGGAAAATAGTTTTTTTGGAGCTTTCTAAAATTTTTACGAAACAGAGCTTGCTGGAATAAACCATTCATTCTGTAAATAGGGGCAAGTATCAATCATTATACTTTTCCATAATGACATTTATTTTTTATTGTCTGTAAGACACGGATGTTTTGATTTCAAATGTAAAATGTGATTTATTTTTCTGAATCGTGAATAAAACTAATAACAAAATAAATCTTCACTGAATTTATGTTTGTAATTATCTTTATATTGCTTATATTGAGGAATAACGTCTATTGTCATTTACTCAAGATTTTATTCCTAGAAAATATCACTTCTCGTACTAAGGTAAACCCCCTTTTTCTAGCGTACTATAAGGGTAAATTAATTCAAAATGCAACCATATTGTTTATATTTATCCTATTTATGTAGTAATATTACTGCAATTCCAATAATATTATTTACCAAAACAAATTACTTTAAATTTGTTTCAAATTCAAAGTTAACTTTTAGACATTAAGGTTTATATATTTTCTGTTTATCTCTCAAACACGCATTTTCCTATTTAAACACGATAAATAATGTTAACAAATAACTTAAGCCATTAAAATCGATCCCTATTTAACTAATTAGTTTTAATATACTTAAAATTTGATACTCACAACTAGAGACGAGTAATCCAGTTGGTCGTCGCAGCACAACTAACACATACTGAGTTTAATCACTGACAAATGAGTGTGGGAAAGTCCTAGTTAGTTATATATATCTAGGGGTGGAACTGGGGTAGTTCCGGATATAGAATAACGGAACTCCGCTCCAAATCAGACCTGCTAGAGGGGAGAGTGAAGAAAGTGAAGAAAGACCGCCCCCGAGAGCTAATTAAAACGATATAGCAACAAGTAGTTTATTTATAAATATGTTTGTTGTAAAAGTGCATAGTTAGAGTTGGATAAACAAACTCATGAACACTGGGGGTACTTTAAAAATCTAGTATAGTGTATATTCAAGCCATTTAGATCGTGATCGGATAGGATCATTAGTTACGTTTTAGGTTTTGGAATTTTGCATTTACGAAACCTGAGAAACAAATTCAACTGTCATTATTTAAACGTCTTGTTGGGATTTGATCCTTGAGTTTTTTATAAATGTATCTGCCTTAAGAACCTGCTGATCTTAGTAACGAAGATGTCAGCTGATTCGTTCACTCGTCTTATATTCCTTGTAGGACGGGGTAGTAGACATCTAACAAAATTTAATTTGAGTAAACTTTTTAAAACACAAAACAGTTTTTTGAAAAGTGTTAACTAGAGTAACTATGACAGGTTTCGTTTAAGTTGGTGAAAATGAGGGTCAAGTAAATGGGGTTGAAGCTTGGATACTAATCGTATATTAGAATGTTAGATCTTTCAATGATGATAATTATATGTTGTTAAGGGTTCTGATGATAATAATATTGCTAGAACTTGAATCCCAGCCATGGTAACCAGGTCAAAAAGTGTGTGAAAGAATCAAACTGCAACCGTTTTTTCTTTTAACATATTCTCCTTTATACTAAGTATTTACCTTTCAAAATGCTGCATCCACACTGATAAAAAATAAAACTTATAAATTTTGCCATGTTGAAAATGTATTATAGTTCTTTTTTTGCATTCGTGGAATTTATGTTTTGTCGTAAAGAAGCTATGAGTATGTCATAAGAATTGTGGTTATCAAAATTATATATATACTTAACAATTTTCCTTTTACGGAATATTTATCCTGTCACTATTCAAATTTTTATATTGATTTAAAAATAATCTATGTAGAATTTTTTTCTTGTGGTAGTGATAGTGTTATTTAATTTCTAGTTATACCGATGCGTATACCATTACCAGAATTTAAACAATTTCTTTGTACTATGAAACAATAAAATGCATTTTAATTGTTAAAGTATTTGTACTAA